CACAGACCGATGCTCTATCCACTGAGCCAAACCAGTCAGAGCATTTTTAGTAATTTTTATTAGAACTTTTTCATCATTGGGCACCAGACGGCAGTGTTACCCTAGAAAGAGATGCCCAGCTGGGGTCATCTGCCAATATTCCAGAAGCTTCCGCCAATGAAGGTGCAGCTCAAACCCTGGATGTTAGACACAGTGCAGGGGAGACTCCAGCCCGTGGCCCAGCTCTGTGGCCTTGAGCACGTTCTCTTACCTCAGTCTACAGACTTCATGAGGCTGTCACAGCAGATTAGTTTTAAAAATGGACATAATGAGTACTTTATAAATATTGTCCTTAAGTCATAATAAGATGAAAGAGAACACAGCCCTGATCAGTTTGGCTCAGTGGCTAGGGCAGGGGTGGGCAAACTTTTTGACTCGAGGGCCACAATGGGTTCTTAAACTGGACCGGAGGGCCGGAACAAAAGCATGGATGGAGTGTTTGTGTGAACTAATATAAATTCAAAGTAAACATCATTACATAAAAGGGTACGGTCTTTTTTTTTTTAGTTTTATTCATTTCAAACGGGCCGGATCCGGCCCGAGGGCCGTAGTTTGCCCACGGCTGGGCTAGAGCATCGGCCTGTGGACTGAGGAGTCCCAGGTTCGATTCCGGTCAAGGGCATGTACCTTGGTTGTGGGCACATCCCTGGTGGGGGGTGTGCAGGAGGTGGCTGATCGATGTTTCTCTCTCATCGATGTTTCTAGCTTTCTATCCCTCTCCCTTCCTCTCTGTAAAAAGTCAATAAAATATATTTTTAAAAAAAGAAAGAAAGAGAACAACACAGACCAGGTCTTTCCTGAAAACAGGTATAAGTGGGGAGAAAACGTGCAAGGGTGCCCCAGTCAATTTGGCCCACTGGGTAGGCCAAAGTTCTGCAGACTGAAGGGTTCCAGGTTCGATTCCAGGCAAGGGCACATGCCCAGGTTGCAGGCTTGATCCCCAGTAGGAGGCAGCGGACCAATGATTCGTATCATTGATGTTTCTCTCTCTCCCTTCCTCTCTAAAATCAGTAAATATATATATATACACATACACACACACACACACACACACACACACACACACACACACACATACTAGAAGCCCAGTGCACAAAAATTTGTGCACTGGCCCTGACTGGTTTGGCTTAGTGGATAGAGCATTGGCCTGCGGACTGAAGGGTCCCAGGTTCGATTCCGGTCAAGGGCATGTACCTTGGTTGCCGGCACATCCCCAGTGGGGGGTGTGCAGAAGGCAGCTGATTGATGTTTCTCTCTCGTTGATGTTTCTAATTCTCTATCTCTCTCCTTTCCTCTCTGTAAAAAATCAATAAAATATATTTTTTTAAAAAATTTGTGCACTGGCAGAAGGGGGGGTCCCTCAGCCCAACCTGTGCCCTCTCACAGTCTGGGACCCCTCGGGAGATAACAACCTGCTGGCTTAGGCTCGCTCCCCTGTGGCAGATGGCACGCCCGATCCCGCGGTGCCTGCCCCATCTCCCCCGGTCTCACATGGCAAGCCCGGATCCCGTGCTAAGGCGGGCGGCGGCTTGGGATCTCGCTGCCGCCAGCCCTGGGCAGGGCGGCGCAGTGGGATCTGCCTGCAGTATGCAAATTTAATGGCCATCTTTGTTGGGTTAATTTGCATACTCTTCTGATTGGCTGATGAGCGTAGCAAAGGTATGGTCAATTAGCATCTTTGTATTTATTAGTGTAGATATTTAAAGTTCAAGGGCCCCACCTCCTGGAAGCAGCAGGGAGGAGGGAAGAAAGAACACAGAAAACCAGAAGCCGAACTCCCTGTCCCTGTCAGGGTCATCTGCTGCCTTGACCTTCAGCTGTTAGGCTGTTAGGCTGTGAAGGCCCCAGAGCACTGGGACTGTCAGCCAACTCAGCAGCTGCCCAGCCGCCTTCCCTCCGGGAGCACCAAGGTCTCACTGGCCATTCAAGGGTCTGAGGTGAGTGGAAATTGGAGGTGGGGGGGCATGAGGAAGCCCATAGACAGGTGTGGACTAGAGGCGAGACCCAGAGTGGTACCTGGGGCAGGACCATGGAGTAGACAGTGTTCCCTTTCCCAGCGGAGTCCTGCTGCTGCCTCCGCCCCTGCAGGAGAAACAGGGAGGGCAGGTGGCAGCATCAGCAGCCACTCAGTCTTGCAGGGTTGGGTCATGTGAGGAGAATGGTGGGAAGGAGCGGAGCTCCCAGGAGCCTGGGAGGCAGCGCCGCAGTCCCGGGACGAGAGGCACAGGCAGCAACCACCAGGCAGAGGCTGGGAGAGGCTCCCCGTGAGAGGCTGCACAGGGAGACCTGCCACTGGACGCCTGCCATGCGCAGAAACGTCCCTTCGCTGACTGACTGCACAGACAGGGCACTAAGTGAGGTCGGAGCCTCACTGTGGCCGCTGATTCCAAGACTAGAGGGTTTCAAGCCCCAGCCCAGATCCAGCCTTATTGTCTGCGGGCCCTTGGCTCCAGCCAGCCCCCTGCGGCTGCGCTGCTGGGTGACCCAGACTCACGGCCAGAGGTGCGTCTCCCTCTCAATCCTGCCCCCACATGGGGTCCGAGGTCATTCATGCCCTTCCCCTAAGGGTCTGCTGCCAGGAAGGGCTCTGGGGGGGGGAGGGTTCCTCATTCAGGGGAGGAGCCGAGAGGAGCAGGAAACATCAGCTGTCCTTGTGTTGGGGACCAGCTATGATTGTAAGAAATATTCATCCTGCTCTGCTAACCGGGATTGTTTTGTTCTGATTAAAGAAGACACAGCTCAGCCGGCGTGGCTCAGGGGTTGAGCATCGACCTATAAACCAGGAGGTCACAGTTCGATTCCCGGTCAGGGCACGTGCTCGATCCCCAGTGTGGGGCGTGCGGGAGGCAGCCAATCCATGATTCTCTCTCATCATTGATGTTTCTCTCTCTCTCTCTCCCTCTCCCTTCCTCTCTGAAATCAATAAAAATATATTTTTTTAAAGAAAACAAGGCATATTCTACTCTGGCTGCAGTTGCACATGGAACTGGGAGTTCACCTGGAAATGCAGTCCATCCTCCTCACCCACGAGCTGCCTATTGTCATGGAAAGATTGACCATCTTGTTGCAGAAATGAGAGGGGCCCCCCACACTCCCCTTGCAAAGCCCCAGCTCTAAAGGGAGAGGCACAGACACCCCGTATTCTGCTGCGGGGCCCCCGACAAGGCCCCACAGCGCCTGAGGGAGGCTGTCTCTGTTCTGGTGGTTGCAGGAGGCCCCACACATGACTTCCTGCTTTGCTGCCCCAAGCCAAGCCCCAGGAACGGTGGTGGGAGGAGGGTCCTTCCTGTCCCTGCTTTCCCACCGGATAGTTCAGCGAGCACTGCGTCCCGGCCTGTCCCCACAGCCTGTCCTGCAGCCCCTCCGAGCGCCGCCCGCCTCACCACTCAGGGCTGCCCTCTCCCAGCACCTCGGCCAGGCACAGCCTCTTCCAAGCGTCTGAGCCAGGACAAGACTGACCTGCCAGCATCCTCCCCACCGGGCAACGACCAAGGGCCCCCAAAAGGAAACGTGGACTTACAGGGGCAGGAGAATTTGTGTCCGACGCAACAGACAAGGTTGCACCCACCCTGAGCCTTAGCCCAGCCTCAGGAAAGAGGGCACCAGGGGGCCACCAGGGAGCAGAGGCAGCCTCCGCCTGGGTCCCCATCCTGGCTCAGCAGGTTCAGTTCTGCACCCAAATGCCCTTCGGCCTCATTTCATCGTCTCACCCAGTTTTCTCTCCACCCAGGGCCAGAGCTAGGACGCTGAGGGGGGCAGAGATGGGGCCTGAGGCCACTCTGAGGCAGCAGCGGGCTCTCTGGCCCCTGCTCAGCAGGGCCATCCTCCCAGGGCACTTCCAGAGGGAAGGAGGGAAGCCCAGCCCTCGGGGCCACACCTGGCCGCTCCTGCCTGGCAGGCGGTTGACATCTTCATAAACTGTCAGCGATTCCTCTGGGCCGGGCTCTGTGTGGAGGGAAGCAAAGAGCAGAGCTGCAGAGTCCTCCTGGCGAACCGGGCCAGGCGCCTGCTCCCGCATCCCACCCTCGTCCCAGGTGGCGAGACCTTGAGGAAGGTTCTAGAGGGGAGGATGGCTCGAGCTCGTCCCAGGAGACTCAGGGAGCTCAGGGCAGCACCCGCCTGACAGTTTCCCCAAACCAGCCCCAGCCAGTGAAGCTGCCGTTAGGGATCAGACGGGCCACATCGGGGCCCAGGAGCGAGACCTGGGAGCAGCCCGGTGCGGGGAGGCGGGCCAGGCAGCGTGTCCTAGGACCCTCCACTTACCTGCCGGCTTCCTCCCCCTTCTCCACACGCAGACGCCGGTGAGGGTGCCAAGCACCGTGAGTATGAGAACCACGATGATTGTCAAGAGGGGCAGGAGGCCGAGCTCTGAGGGAGACGAGACATGGGCGTGAGGACTCACCTTCTCCCTCCCTGCCCGCCTGCTGCAGTGGCTGCTCCACCCCCACTCGCTGGGGTGGCTGCTCTCACACCCTGTGCATTCAGGTCACAGGTGTCTCCCTGCTCAACTGGAAGGCCGCCCAGTGACACTAAGAGCAGGGGACATAGGGCCAGATGCGAACGCTACGCTCTGTGCCCTTGGCAAGCTCCTTAGCCTCTCTGGGCCTGTTTTCTCACTTTCAGGAAGGAGTCAGTGTATCCACACAGCAAGTTAACAGCATCTGACAGATGCCAAGCTCAGTAACTTTTACACAGGAACATTCCTTTGTTTTAACTCAACAAACATGTCTGCTCTGGGCCAGGCCACCTCCGTCCTGCCTTCTGCGACCTTTGCCCTTCCTGCGTGGACTTCTGCGTCAGGGCCTGTCACACACGCAGCCGCAGCCGCAGACGAGGTAAGTGCCGCGAGCGAGCAGCGCAGGGAAAGGAGGGAAGTGCCCCAGATGCTGCTGGCGAGGCTCCTCGCAGACATCACCCCACTTCCCTGAGCAGCAGCTCTGCCAGGTGTTTAGTAGGAGCTTCCCATTGTGCCCGGGAGACTGTCTGCGACTCAGAGAGGTGATGACCTGCCTGAGGTCACAGAGCTTGTGAGTGACCCGGCCTGGCTGACGCCACACGCTGCCTGCCGGAAGCCAATTCCAGCATGACAGCAGGGCTGAATCACCTGGAGTGGCGAGGGCATTTCCCCAAACCTGAAAAGGATGCATTAAATTGATTGTTTGCTGCCAGGCAGCTCAGGGCATCTTAATCTACATGTTATTGCCTCCTACTGGCCAAACACCTGAACAGCCGTAGGCGATTCTTCCAATCTGACAATGGACTCTGTATATGAAACCCTGACCCTTTGAAGTGTATATCTCTGCCTCGCCTCAGGACAATTTGTGTTAATAAAAAACATGGGGCCCACCGAAACCAGTTTGGCTCAGTGGATAGAGCGTCAGCCTGCGGACTGAAAGGTCCCAGGTTCGATTCCGGTCAGGGGCATGTACCTGGGTTGCGGGCACATCCCAAGTAGGAGGTGTGCAGGAGGCAGCTGATCGATGTTTCTAACTCACTATCTCTCTCCATTCCTCTCTGTAAAAAATCAATAAAATATATTAAAAAAAAAAAAAAAAAAAAAGCATGGGGCCCTGAGACGAGGAGATCTTAGTTTCTTTAGCTAGGCTCCTCTGACCCCCAAATGCCTTTCAAAATTATGCTTCATCTCTGGACTCTTGATTAAGAGTCCTTGTCCAGATTGCTGAACCTTCTAGATGCCGGAACAAGAGCCCCGGCCCCGCGCTTCAGTTGCTTGTTTCCCTTTGCTGTGAGAGCTTATTTTGTTGTCCCTATTTGGCTATAAGGTCTTTAAAGACAGGGGCTGCAGGCGGTTGCTGCCCATGCTGACACACAGCCTACTGGGTGTGAGCTTTCTTTTATCTAGAAAAAAGTGGGGAAAGTGGGCTCGAGGTAACTCTCGGAGAAGCACAGCAATGAGCAGTGCCTCCGCCCAGTGCGCGTCTGATGCTGCCACGACCCAAGGCTGCTCTGGACCACAGGGCTTGGGAAGTGCCCCCTGAGAGGAGGAAGCAGGTCCCCGACAGCCTCAGAAGAAAACAACTCACAGCCAGGCTGGGCTGTCACTCACCAGACAACGAGGCATTTCCTATGGAAGGAAGATGCTGTCTTCCAGGAGGTTCTTGATGGGGACAAAATTCCTCCCAGCCTCAGACCGGCCTGGCTGCCCAGGACCTGTGTGCCTAGAGGCCAGGACCCTGGGGAAGGGCTCCAGGCCCAGGGGTGTCCTCCTGAGCCTGGCGATGGCCCAGCACCCTCCGCCCTGTCCCAGCCCCAAGCGCTGCACTCACTCTGGGGGGCGCTCCCACAGCCCTGGCCGAGCTGGAGGCTCTGGTGCGCCCAGCTGACGGGGTTGCTGACGTTGCAGGTGTATATGTGCCAGCCGTTGGCATCGATCTGCTCCTCCAGTCGGAAGGGGCTCCTGGGCGTCGGGATCCACTCGCCCCCTCGGTACCAGGTGTAGGTCACATCACCACCTCCGGAGGCCGAGCAGTTCAGGGTCACTCGGCACTTCCCACTGCCCAGGGCCGCCGTCTGCTCCAGCAGCTGCAGCTCGGGCTTCCCCACAGGGTCTGGAAGCAGAGGTTCTGATCAGGAAGGCGCTTCAAGCACCAGCCTGCGCGCCGGGAGGGGCACTCACCCAACACGGACACGTGGAAGCGGTGGGTCCTGACGGTGCCGTTCTCAAGGGTGACCTCCAGGGAGTAGGTGCCGCTGTCGTCGGGCTGAGCGGCCTTGAGGAGGAGCCTTAACTCCTTGATGCTAAAAATGAGCCTATTGTAGTCACTGGCATTCCGATGCGCATGATGCAGCCTAGAATCATTCTTCCAAGTGAACAGCACACGAGGGCTTGGGTTTGAGCACAGCTGTACCTTCCAGTCAAAAGACCTCACCGCTGTCGGGGTGTGGCCGGGCCCTAAGCAGAAAGCCGTGCCCGAAGGTCTCACCACAGGTCCATCCGGAGACAGGGGTGCTGGGCAAGAGGAAGCGGCTGCGGGCAGGAAGGGCGCCAGGCTCAGCATGGGGGCAGCTGGACGCGACTTCCCTTGAGCTACGAGGGGCCCGAGCCTGAACCTGAGAGCACACATCCTCATTGGCGCCC